GACTACGATGCCACGTGGGAGCCATACGAGAGGATGAAACATCAATTTCCTGATTTTCACCTTGAGGACAAGGTGATTCTTTGGGAGGGCGGTATTGTTAGGCGGACAAGAGCTGAACCGGCCCAGCCGGTTCAGCAAACATATAGGAGGCGGAGGTATTCCGCCTCCTCTACTTTGGCCAGCCCACAAGTGGGCCCCACTTGCTAGCATCATTTGAAAATTCAAAGAGGAAGGGGCGGCTAGGCTTTAGGAGGGAAAACCAATTAGGAAATTTATTGTATTAAGAAGGATGAGTGAGATTAGGGATTTTCATGTTTTGATTGATTGCAATTAGGGTTTTCTTGGAGGCTTGGGCTCTAGAACGAATTCTAGAGATTGGGAGAGTGCGATCCTCCTCTCGAATAGAGGATCCTTGTATCTTTGCTATTTTCCTTGCATCTACTAGTAAAATACAAGTTGTTTCTCCATTTTTCTCTCAGATTTTCCCTGTTTTCCACTGTTTTTGCTGTTTTTCTTGCTGTGAACAGCAGTTTTGCATTGAGATTTGCTGTAGAAGCGAATAGGAAATACTTGAAATCAAGTATTTCCTATCACATTTCTCCTAGTTTGGATGTATAAACTTTTTTCAATATCTTGATAATCCTCATTTGCAATTGAAAACTGATTGATTTGGGAGGGAATTCAAATTGGAGAGGGAATCTTGTATGGAAAGTAGGTTGATTTGGGAGGGAATTAGGGAAGTATATATAGGGCTAACTATGGGGTGATTTTAGGGTATGCAGGATTTGTGTTTGATATAGATTTATTTGATGAGTCTTCTAGCGGTTGCTTGGGTTTGTGGAAGAGCTAATCTATCTCTCGAATAGTAGATCAATTATATCTTGCTTTGCTTTTGAAGAAGAAATTAAAAAAAAAACAGCCATTATCTTGTTCTCTCTTGTTTGTTGTTTTTACTTCCAAGATGCATTACATTTCTCCTAGTTTGGATGTATAAACTTTTTTCAATATCCTGATAATCCTCATTTGCAATTGAAAACTGATCTATTTAGTTTTAAGAAAACCTTAATCGTGCTTCTTCACTGAAATGATGCTATAGTTCCTGCATCTGCATGAAGAAACAGTTATGTTATCTAAGCTTACGATTCTACAATAGATATTCTTTTCATACAATTTCTGTATTCTCTATCTGCCTTAAGGTAATGGGGAACCCAATTTCACTCAAGCATTGTTACCATATTACGGGCATCTTTCGAATGTTTTTTGCTACAATTTCTAGATTGTTCTTTCAATTTTATTTAATAAATAATCCATTTTATTCTATTGCTTCTCGTTCCCTTTTTGGTTCAAAATCTCTAATGTAAAATGCTTAAATGATATACATCATATTTAAATGGCATTTTTTCCAGTTAAATGACGGATTTTTTTTGGTAAATTTCAAGTATTTTCCATTGCTGCAGTGGTTCTCGATCAAGCGGCAGCATGCTATACTACTACTATCAGACAGCCTTTACTACACAAAATTCAAACTTTTCTGCAAGGTGAGTCCATGCCTAATGTAATGTGGTATTAGCTGACCATATTTCAATTAAAATGTATAAGGCGTTTGGAATGCATAAAATAGATCCATCCTCTTTTTTTCTTATGGTGCTTATTTAAATTGACATTGTTCTAGATGCTAATATTTCTAAGCCTAGTCACGCAGAACATGGGCTTTGGCTGTACCCAAAAAAGCAGCTTGACCAAACTGTATAAACATGCATGCACTTAGGCTTCGTTTGGGACGACTTTTTTGTTGCTTCTTAAAGCAACTTTCCAATATAAAATTTTTAATTTTTTACTAAAAAGCTGCTTTAAGTAGCAACAAAAAAGCCATCCCAAATGAAGTTTATTTTCATGGATATGTGAGAAAATTGTGAAGACATTCTATTCCCGTTATATTTCTACTACCTTAGGTTTCTAAATAATGATAATAGGCCATCATGGTTATTTTCATGAGAGTAATCCTAGTACCTATACCTTTTTTATTTTTACAGCCAGCTATGGAGGGCAACAGAAACTGCTATTCTGACGAGCATTACTTGCCAACTCTCTTCAATGTATGAGGCCTTAGCTTTTATCTAATTCCACTTAGACAATTTTTTGGGCATGTTATTCCAATTTTATAGATTGTTTTGTTGACCTTAGTTGTATCTTTTAGATGGTCGACCCTACTGGTATTGCTAATTGGTCGGTTACCCACGTAGACTGGTCTGAAGGCAAATGGCATCCTAAGTTATATAGAGCTGAAGATATTACATTTGAGCTTCTCAAAAAAATTAAAGTATGCATTATGTATTTTTTTTAAATGGTTTAAATTACTAAGTGCTGATGCTTCTCTGCTAATGAATTGAGCGTTTTCTGCTGTTATGTGCAGTCTATTGACGAGAATTTCCATGTTACAAGTGATGCAAAGGTAAGCTCACTCTATGATAGCATCAAAACAGTCCTTGCATGGTGTATTCTTTCACATATGACTACAGTTTAGATGAGGATTCTTTTACACGAGACTTTGGATATAGGCTGCTTATATATTTTTGTTGAAGATATGAAATAAAATCAAATTATCAGGTTAGAAAGATTAATCATAGTAAACATGCGTTCATCCTGTTTCAGAATACACTTCCTTCCTACCCCTACGTATCAAAAACCATCTTACTCGTTATGTGCCATTAAAGATTCAGTTTATGAGCCTCTCCAAAGATAAAGACTACGTTTGGGACGGCTTTCTTACTGCTTCTTAAAGCAACTTTTTAAAACAAAAATTTTAATTTTTAAACTAGAAAGCTGCTTTAAGAAGCAATAAGAAAGCCGTCCCAAACGAAGCAAAAGAAGCTAGCTCTTGAATAGTTTCAGAGTAGTTTCTATTGCCCTCTTTGTCTTCTCTATTTCTCTAATGATGCATGGTTCTTTTTTACTTTCCTGTAAAATAAATTGGTAGCCAATTGTCAAGTCTTTTCCCACTGAAAATTCCAAGTACATATTTTTAAGGACTTCTGATGTACTTGCAACATACAAATACTTGTCATTGCATGATAATCTAGAAATGCGTTAAGAAAAACAGATATTCAACTGGAAACCACTCCCATTCAACTGATTATGATTCTTCATATTTACCAGAGTGGAAAGTATTGTTCTAGTGTTTTCTAGAGGCCTGAAACATGAAACAATGACATTTCTTTGCAATGCTTTTACATTTCTGACACTGAAAGTGATAGGCCGGACAGGCCCAAGGGCCGGCTCAGCTGGTGTACAGGAGGCGGAAACAGTCCACCTCCTTTGGTTCGTTCCGCCCAAAGGGGTGGGCCCCACTTGTCCAAGTGATTTCAAATTAAAAAAGAGGGGGCGGCTAGGGCTTGGGAGGGAAAATAGATTAGGAAAGCTTTTGTATTAAAGAGGATGAGAGGATTAGGGAGGATTATGTTTTGATTGATTGGAATATGGTTTCTTGGCGACTTGGGCTCTAGGCTCTCTTGTCTAGAGATTTGGGAGAGACGATCCTCCTCATGAATTGAGGATCTCTTGTATCTTTGCTTTGTTCTTGTTTAGCTTTGTTTCTATAAGATTTGCTATCGTCTGATTGTTCTTCCACCATAATTTCTTTTTTTTTTTCTCGTTGTTTACCGATTATTGTTAGGTTTGCTTATGAACTCAAATAAATCCGATAGGATTACTTGTGAACTCAATTATGATATAATTACTTGTGAACTCAAGTATTTCCTATCAGAAAGCTAGATTTTTTTTGTTGGCCTGGATTCCCTTCGTTTTTGCATTCCAGAAGAACCTCTATGAACAGTAATGACTGGATATAGTAAATTGCATTCCAAGATTGGAAGCGGCATTGCTTTATCTTTTAATTATCTTTTGGGGTTCATGCTGAACTTCTTCTGCAGATTACTTGAATGAGTTTTCTTTGTTCAACGAGCTGTCAACATAGTTTCTCAAATATCTTATGCTTTCATTCATTATATCAAAGTTTTTGTTGATTACTTAAAGGAAAACACCCTCGGTCATTTTCTAATTACTTTCCAAAATACTTAGTTATCTTGCTCTTATAGATTCATATCTTTCTCCCTGCATTTTTGTTCATCTTAATTGAGCTTGTAGATTGATTTTCACCGTTGAAAATAAGTTTTTTTTAATCTTTCCTTCTTCATCTGTTTGCTACACAATATAATTCCTTTTCTCCATTCCTGCTCTTGCAGAAAGTTATCATGCAGAAACCATGTTTATGGAATGGGACTAGAAGGCCATGTTATCTTTTTGCCAGGAAGTTCTATCCAGAAGCCATTGAGAATTTGATGAATATTTTCTCCAATTACACAGATTTTTGAGCCTTCTAAATGATTAGATCATTCTTGGCTACCCTTTTGTTTTGCTTCAACCAGATTTCTCCTCACTTGATACACTGCTTGCATCCTGAGCTGGAGTTTCTTGCGCTTGCTGGCATTCAATTTCTCAAAGCTTTCAAAGAGTTTTTGAAGATGTAAATTTGAATGATTATACAATCTAAGAGATAAAATGCTTGGAATGGATGCTAAATGTACCTTAATAGTATTTTATGTGTAAAATGTGAAGCTGTTTTTTTATGAATGTACTGCTTCACTTCTCTCATTCAGTATTATGGTGTTTAGGTGCTTATTATTTCTATTTGTCAGTACTTGGGGATTCCTCCTTGGGATATCAATTTTGTAAACTACTGTAAGCAGGGGGGAGTTAGGATTTTTTTTTTTATTGTGCTCTGTGCAATTTGATGGAATATTGGCAGGGAGTTTGCAGTGCCTCTGATAGTCTTTTTAAAATTGTAAGACCTGTATTTGTAATTTAGGCGTCAAAAGCTGCTTCGTAAAGCAGCTTTCTAGTAGAAAAAATAATAATTTTTTACTAAAAAGCTGCTTTAAGAAAGCTGTCACAAATGAAAAGCCTTATTCTTCTACATTTTATGTTTTTTGTCTTGTTTCTAAGAGTATAATCTTGATATGCCAAATTAAAAAAAAAAAAAATATTTGATTAAGTATGAAAATTGATGCAAATTTTTTTTTTTTGAAAAATTTCAGAATCAATTGGGAAGCTTTCAAACTTCATTTTCAATATGCTTATCAATGAATAAAATATTTTGATGGGACAAATTCATCGATATCGCTAAGGTCGACATTTGTTGGTTATAAAGTTGGTGGCCACCATTAATACAAATGTTAACACCTAAATCTTCAACACTTGAGTCTCCTACTTTCATCATAAAAGTTATTATCCATAATTTATGTTTGATATATTATATCAAAGCATTATCTAATTATAGAGAATGTCATCCTTTGTGATGTCGATGCCTAACGTTAATACCAGCATTGATGCCCTTGGAAGCAATACGACTGAAATGCACTGTCGACACTAACGTCAATGTTCATTGATGCTAATAGCGTCGATGTTTGTCAACACCAATGTTGTCTCCCGTAGTCACCAATAAGGCCAAAATCTTTTAGTGACACCAATCTTGATATTCATCATCGCATGTCGTTGACCCCAATTTTAACCCTCATTGTCCCTAACAAGGCCTATGCCTACATTCTTTGTTGTTATTCTCATCTCCTATAAGGAGAATGACTAGCAAACTAACTACTATCTCCTAATAAAATCTTAAAATCCTAAGGCATTGCCTACTCCGCCATGAAAGTTGTCTTTCATAATCATTTCTACTACCTAATATCAAGAACTTCTCCATTTCCAATGAAGGACATCCATTGTAATATATAAGCCACACTAGTGAAATTATTTCAACTCGGGCTACGTCTAATGATCGTCCTTTTAAGATTTTAATGTAAAACTTAAAACCTCTAATTAACCTATTTCATCATTAAAAGATCACTTATAATTTTATTAAAATAAAGTTCTCACTTTTAAATAAAAAAAAAATTATAATCTTCCTTTCCTCCAGAATAGAAAGAATATTTAAAAAATAGAAAGAATTTGACTCAATTCTAAACAAATCCTAAATAAATAAATCTTTAATTATTTAGGATTGAGTCATTTTCTTTCGATTTTTTCTATCAATCTTATCAATAACATACTGATTATTTTTATAAATAATTAGATAAGAATCATCGCTCATGAAATTAAAAAAAAAAATAATACGATTTTATATTTTCATTATATATAACCTTTAAATTCTTATTTATTTTAATCTTCATTTCATTTAAAAAACATTCAATCATTATCCCAATTTTAAATAATATCTTTTCAAAATAGGAAAATAAATTATGCTAATAAGCTAAAACATGCATTTAAAATTATTTAGAGTTTTATCAAATGAGAATATTATCTATTAATTTGCATATATTAGCAAATGCAAAAGCCCTAAAATTTCATAGTATAATTTATTGCTTAATTTTTTTATTTGAATTATTTTGTTAGGTGTTATTTTCTCTTCAATAATAATTGATTTAGAATATAATTAATTTTTATTTAAAATTTTATTCTTATCCTTATAGGCTTATTTTATTTAATTATCCAACATTTTCTATAATTTATTTTATCTTAAGCTTCATTTAGACAGCTTTATTATTATTTTTTTAAATAATTTTTTAATTCAAAAATTTCTTGAATTAAAAATTTTATTTTAGAAAATAGTTTTATAAAACAGTAAAAAAGTTGTCCCAAATAAAATCTTAATTAGATATTTTAAATAATGAAAGCAGCAGAACAATTCATAGATGCTTAGTTGATTCTTTCTGACTTTTCTTTACCTTCATAAAACAATAAACCTGATTGGCTGTGAAATTTGGTCTAATTAATTGCATTTTTGTTTCTTTATTGTGCAATATTTGACTAATTTCATCCAAGTTTTCTTAAATTAATGAAAAGACCCCTACCATCCAAAATTAAGGTTATTGTTAGAATAAATGTAATTCATTGCAATTTCATTTTATTACAGTAATTATAAAATTCTGTTATTTGACATTTTGCATTTTCTTAGTCATGTGAAATTAAATGGTTTGAGCATTTTAGATGAGGAAATAAAAACTTAATTTTTTTTTTAATGTTTTCATCAAAAGAGATTTTTTTTAGGAGATAAAGCTCCATTTGATTGGATGATATTGGAACACATTTTGCAAATTAATGAAGTTTATTAGAACTATCATTTTGTTGAGGGTGGTTTGAATCCTATTAATTTTGTTGTGGGCTAGAAAATTTGATGTGATAGGAAGGTAGAGTTTAGAGGGGTGTCAATTCGTGTCAACGGATCGGGTTCGGGTCAAACCCGGAATTGACCCGGCAATGTTCGGATCAAAATCGGGTCAAAATCGGTCAAAAACGGGTTTCCGAGTCAAGGAGTTTTCGTGTCAATTTCGGATCATTTTCGGGTTGCTGGGTCAACCCGAACCTGACCCGATTTTTAAAACTGGTAGATTTACTGAACACGAACCCGACCCGTTTCGGGTTCGGGTTGACCCTAACCCAAATTTTTCCGGGTCGGGTTCGGGTCGTGTCAAAAATTGACACCCCTAGAGTTTATTTTCTTATCTTTCTACAAATGTCTATCACACAAACAAATAAATGAGAGAACTATTATAACACTAGATATTTTTTACTTGAAAAATCTAAAAAGAAAAAATCATATGGCCTTGTCCGGCTGAAATGATTCCACTATATATGCATGAATTATGAAGATTGGTTTGTCCCTTAACTTAGAGATGATAAAATGAGCAGAGTATGGAGAATTGGCAAATGTCCATATGGATTTTTGGGGTTCAATGACTGGCAGTGGTTCGTCGGAGGAGGGTTGACTGAGGTGGTTGACCAATGAAAGGTCTTACGGTGGAAGTCAGACGACAAACATTTGATGCAATGCTCGGCCAACAGAAGTTTGATTGTGATAGTCGGGTGGAGGTTCGGCGATGGTGGTCGGGCAGATGTTTGGTTGCCATCAACCAGTAAAAGTTGGGTGATGACTGTCTGTCGAAGGTCCACTAGTGACAGTCGGTTGGCGAAAGTCCAATAGTGACCTCTAATTAGTGGCTGCTAGCGGAGGTCCGACTACAATGGAGGTTCGACAATGGCAAACAAGTAACATGCATATTTAAATATTTTAGGGAGTGACATGCTTCATAAATATGGGAAAAATCGAAGCAATCCATCGAACATCTGCATTGATTCGCTCGATCATAGATATTTTCTTTCATATTTAAGTGTCTAAATGATGTCACAATTAAGCAATTGGGACTCTGGATTCGTTTCCATGAGTCGTTTGATTCAACTATAAGCATGACAAATTTGAAGATTAATTGGTCATTTAATTATTATTCTAAAGCTTTCAATAACTATTAATGCGCAATTGAATATTTTCAAATTTTTCAAAGAAGATGGATTTAGACCTTGATATCATTCAAATAATTTTGATTATGTAAATTATTTGAATTTTTAATTTTTATTTTTAAATTATAAATATTGGAAGTCCACAAATTTATTATTTTTGTCCTATGAAAACTAAGCCAATCTATTAGAATGGTAGGAAAAAGGGCAAGGATATGCTATGCAAATTCAATAGATTATAAAATTATAAAAAGATTAAAAAATTAGAAGATAAATAATAAATGAGCACTTGGTATATAAAAGTGAGATATAATATTTAAATATTATTAAATTACTTGAACTCCAAAATTTTAACATATTTTAAGTGTATTTTATATTATTTTGTTAAACATGCTGGTTCACAAGCTAATAAGTTGAGTCAGGATTGACTCAAACTTATCCTGTTAGCTCATCGAACTCGGCTCACGAACCATTTATCAAGTCGAGCTCAAGCCGGTTTACGACTCGGTTTGACTCACTTATACCCCTAGTCTAAAGAATTTAAAATGTTATAATTATCATATAAAAATAAATAAATAAATAAATATAAGATCATACTTCAAAAAATATTTTTAAAATAATTTATGAAGCTGCTTTCTTCACATTATTGATTAAAATTTTATAAATTCATGAAATGAATACAACACTACAAAACGGACAAATATGATTAAATAAATTAGCGACAAATGGATAAATTGTTGCAGTGTTTCTCGTTGTGCCGTTTCTTTAACGGAAAATGCATAAAATATAATTCTCACGCATCTCAAAGCAGATCCTATGTTCTAAATCTGTCTTGTATTTTTGTTCTAGTTGTTTGCCGGAAGCATAAGATATTGTATGTGTAATGTGCTTGGAAATTCTTAGCATTAGAGGGGATTATTTAATATTAAACATATACGTGTGAAGATGATTGATAAAATAAGACAGACATTAGTGGCTAATGGATATCAGACAATCAAAGATTAGTAAGCACGAGATGATGGTCGATGAAAAATATTAAAAGTCGGGAAACAATGGGTGCTTAATTTTTCTGTTATCATAATAGGAGGAGAGACTGGATGGCTGGGAAGGCATATACGAGTCGTCGATGGCTAATAATTAGGGGTGTAAGTAAGCCGAGCCGGCTCGTCAGCCGGCTCGAACTCGACTCGTTAGCGAGCTCGCGAGCCGAGCTTATCAATACTTATTAGTAATAACTATCGATCATTGATAGACATCAAACGATAGGTAATACAGAATACTTGAAGTCTATGATGCGAACTGCATTAGGCATGATTTCTTTTGTCAAAATAGGATTTTGTTTTCCCTATATGAGCATATTGGACTCTTGATATAAAATGTGCAAAATTATTGAGAGGCAATGATCAAACTCTTGGGAGAGCACATCGAGAATTAACCCCAAATATATAATTATTATGATACTTTAGGGAAATTCTAACCTAAAAAGTTCAAGATTAGCAAGCGTGGAGTATAACTGGAAAAAATAGCACGTATTCAATAGAAATTGTTATCGAGTGAGGAACCATATAAATCACAAATGTTGTCGATTTGAACTAGTTCAATTTTAAATAACATTAAACCCATCACATGCTTAAGAAATTTCAAATTATTATTAAGAATACTTTATTTATGTCCATTTGAGCTTAGATCTCAACATTCTAATTATCATTGAGTTCATCTCATCAAATCATATTATTTCGTACAACTTCATATTAGATTAATAAATCTATAATATATAATAAATGCAAATGATATGGAACATCCTAATAAAAAAATTGAAAAAAAAATGGAACATCCTAATTATAGAACATCTCGGGAATATTTTATCTACGTTTGTACCAGCTTTCTAGAGAGTTCTAGAATATTCTAAGATAGGTGATACATATTAGTTGTAGCAAGAAGGGAAAGATGTGAAAAATATTATGTAATTTTGAGCTTTGAGCTTGTAATTTGGCTTTCTATATGATATTCCTTCTAGCAGATCCAATCTTCCAACGACCCAATACATCAAGAAAATAAGAATAAATCAATATTCATTTTTTAAGTAAGTCAACTTCACTTAAAAACCTCACCAATCACTCCCATTTGGTATAAATTTTCAAATTCAAACAAATAACCATTCAAATAAAGATGTATTTTTCATAACTAGCTTAAAATATAACAATTTTTAATTAAAAAAAATGCTAAGTCAATCAAAAGCCTTTACATTTAGCCCCTTACAATTTCACAAAATGAGAGGGTTGTTTACATAAATTACTCGAATCAAACCATAAATACCCAACAGAATCCTCAAATCTCAACCCTTCGGTTTCCTAAGGAGTTTTTTGGAGAACACAGAGAGAGAGAAGAGAGATGGGATGTCATCACTCGATCGAAGCATCAGTACCGTTCAGTGGAGTTCGTGTGATAACCATCAACGGCCACTTGGAGCTGTTTGAGTCGCCGGTCACCGCCGGCGAGGTGACCGGAAAACCCTCTCACCACGTTCTATGCTCGGCGGCCCATCTTCTAACCACAGGGGCCCGATCGCTCCGGCCGGAAGACCGGCTCGAATCCGGCCGGCTCTACTTCCTACTCCCACAGTCGGTTCTCCAGGCCGGTCCGCTCGACCTCGCCGCTCTTGCCACACGGCTCACCAATCTCGCCCGAACCGCTCCCGTTGTAAAGGCCAAGGTCGAATCGGCTGCTACTGGACCGGGTTCAGTAGCGGCTGGGGTCAATCACGGAAAGGCGCAAGAGCGGCCCCGACCACACATGTGGCGGCCGGTTCTGTCCACCGTGCGGGAGATCTCCTTATCTCTTTCCTTAGCCTCGCAATCTGTGATAAAAAGCCCTAAAGCTAAGGCCTGAATTGTAATTTTCAAAGGCTGCATGGAATAGCACGTGTGGAATTGATCGCACGTGCGGAATTGATTGCACGTGCTCGTCCACATTTTCGTGATTGTCTATAGCTTCCTTATTTGGAAAAATTATTAGGTGCGGAGTGTGCACCGTCCGCACAAGGCATTGGAGGGTGCTCGGTACCGCTTGGTACCGAGCACCCGTCAATTCTTATTGCGGACGGTTCTCCCCGTCCGCACTTCGCACCTAATAATCTCTCCCTTATTTGGATATCGAAAGACCACATTAATTCAATAGGAATTTTTATCATTAAAAATAGGAAATGATAATTTTCCTTCAGTATTTTTTTTTTCAAGAAAACATATCAATTGCTTATATAATATGCAAAGTGTTGAATTCAAATTTATTCATGAACAATATTTAATTTTACGAGCAAGTTTGTCGGGAGAACAAAGGAGTTTTTAAGCAATAATAGAGATCGAGAATAGAGGAAGACTAGATTCTCCTAATAGTTCAAGAGATCTCTTTTGAAAAATAACAATTTTGCTATACGAAGATAATGCACTGTGCAGACTTAGTCGCGAGTTGAACATCTGCGGTTATTTTCTTAGGAGCGCTTTAAAAATTTTATTATATTTTAGCTATCTTAAATATGTCATTAAAAAGAGAGGGCGGCTTGATCTTATGTTTGTATAAAATATATGTTTTAATAAGTTGTATGCATTATGCATGACAATTAGTGCCAATAAACAAGATCAAATATGTCCTTGTTGCATCCTGGAATATTTGTGGCGATAGGGAAATATAAAGCTTAGCATTCTAGCTTTATACGATGATCCATCAAAATACTGACCCTATATCGATTTTTCATCACAACTAAAGTGGCCTGCGAACAATCCTGCAATCCGACTTCTCCCCGGCTTACTGGCTGAGTTGCATTCGATTTGGTAGGGATGAAATGAGTTGACATAAAAGTCTGTATGTAGTTGGTGAAATCATAAGAAGAATGTATATAACCCTATTCCGGCGTGGGATCACATGTGAAGAATACTGAACTATGAGCTTTCAGGAGTCTCGACCCTCTCTAGCAAGCAGTATGTAGCGGTAAATCGAGCAAATCAATTCAATTGAAATGCCCTTATCCTCCCACTCGAAACTAACTGAGATTCTGCTGACTCAGATCTGATGGTCTAACTTGAATGGAATCTGATCGATCTCAATCTGGAACAACTAGAAAGTTTTGGCATAAACTCTTCCGCCCACTTCCCGCCTTGACCAAGAATAGAAGGAACCTATTCTCTTACACAATCAGCTGTGCACAAAGATGTTCCTACTTCTATTGAGAGTGACCCGGAGAGAGACCCTCTTCATCTATTGCTCGGGAGATATCGCAGCACACCGAGACCTTACCTCTTATTGACTTGAACAAACTCACTCCCGTCTTCCCTACCTTTACTCACTCTTTGAAAGACAGAGATAGATAAAAGCGTAGGGATGCAGCGTTCATAAGAGATACCAAAATTTTTACATTAAAATTTCTAAAAATTGGGAAAATTCATAGGGCCTTGCTTAGTTTAGGATTTAGTCCACTAGTGTTTGCAATTGATTACAAATGATGTCCTTCCTCGGGGAAGGCGTTGGCTCAATGTAGTTAATATACATTACAACGAGCAAATTACAAGGTTGGAGTCAAAATAATCCGGTGACATGAGAGTTATTCTTAAGAGAATGTTGGCCTGTTTATTTTGTTAGTAGGATCGTAGTATGACGATGGCGGTCAAAGGAACCTAGGGGAGTAAATGAGTCGAGTCAATCGAGCTCCAGCCATGCCTAACTCAAACTTGACTTATTAGCCAAGTCACTAGCTCAAACTCAAATTGAGCTCGAACTTGACTCGTGGCACTGAAAAAACATGATCTCCCCAGCCAATCTTGAGATCACGTATACCGCTAGAGAAGAAGAAAGGAGTTCAGTTGCAGCCTGTCCCAATTCGCGATTCGGCAAATCTCGGACTCCAACTTGAGAAGATGAAGAGGTTTGTTTTTTATTACTTGTTTTTGTTATTTTGAAAATAGTTACAGCCTTGTTAATGACCAAGGTAAAGATATTGGTAAGGACTTGCAAAATTTTAGGGGTAGGAGTGCAAGTAGAAGGCCCCGATTTCGGCCTAATTCAAACCCTGACATTGTTGCGACCATGCCTGTCTCTAAAATCTGCACTCATGAACCCTCCAATCCTCAAATTACTAATATCTCTCAAGACCTCCCGCAAAATGTCATCGGTCAACCTCTTCATTATCAGGCACACTCCCCTTCCCCTAACAAAATGAAATCTAGGAAATATGACAATGCCTTGGATCCCCCTAGCATCGAAATTCCTGTTATTGGAGATCCTTTTTGTTTGGGTATCCCAAATCTGAATTCTCCAAATGCTGCTGCTTCCTCTTCTTCTACCAACTTACAAATTCAGACTTCTTCTGCTGGTCAAGCCTTTGTTTCTCCTAATAAGTTTGATATTCTGAACTCTGAAGGGGAGGTTAGGGATCCAGCTCTTAATCCGAGTGATGACATGGATAGTGATGCGTTATCTGTTGAAGTTGTTGGGAAGGGGAAAAAAACTGTTGTCCCGCCCAAGCAAATCAAGAACCTAGAAACTACAACAACCAAAAAACCTGCTAGGGGTAAGCAGGGGAAAAAACCCCATGCTAAGCAGTATTCATGATGTATTTTTCACCACTGGCTGCGTGGAACATTAGGGGGTTTAATCGCCCTGACAAAGTTTTTTGCTTAAAGCGTCTTATTAAGTCTTATAAGCTTGATCTTGTTTGTATCTTGGAAAACAGGATACATCTTCACTCTCTTCAAGATCCGAGCTTTGAAACTTCTCATTCTATCTTTTTGAATGAGTCTAGCTGCAACAATTTTGATCTCTCCGAATCTGGACGCATCTGGGTGAAGTGGAATTCTTCTAAACTGTCTTTCACTCCTTTTGTCATCACCTCTCAATTGATTTCTGGTTTGATCTCTGTGGCTAATCAAACCCTTTTTCAGCTTTCTGTTGTTTATGCTTCTAATAGCTCGACGGATCGCAAAGATTTGTGGAACTCTCTCTCTCTCTTGCTGCCACTGGATGTCTTCTTCCTTGGGCAATTATTAGAGATTTCAACTGCTGTAGATATGCCACCGATAAACTTGGTGGTTCTCCTCTTACTCACTCTGCTCTGAAGGATTTCAATGACTGTATTTTTCTCAATGGCCTGGTGGATCTTCATTCTGTTGGTTGCAATTACACCTGGTATAATCAACGGATTGACAACCCCATACATATTAAACTGGATAGAGTGCTTGTGAATGATGAATGGATGAATAAATTCTCTGAATCTTTTTGCTCCATTCAAAATCCATCTTGCTCTGACCACAGTCCTGTCATTTTACATCTTGGAAGCGCGAATAAGGCTTTTCACCGCTTTCTCTTCAAAAACTATTGGACTAAGGTCGACAAGTATTGGGCTATGCTTTAGAGATTTTTTCTAGGCCTTCTTATGGAAACCCTCTATCTCATCTTTGTCACTCTCTCAGGCTTTTAAAAAGTGACATCAAAAAAGAAACATGGGCTTCTTCAACTAGTATATCTAAGCATCTTGATTCTCTTAACAACAATCAAAGGGATTTACTGGAGCAATTGCTTACTGACCACAACAATACTGAGCTTAATATTGCCTATAAAAATTGCAGCTCTACTTTGACTAATTTCAACAATCTTTATGCCTCTTGGATCATTCAGCGGACTAAGGTCAAGTGGCTTAAATTTGGGGAAGATGATATTAAGTTTCTGTCTATTATTAATCTCCTCACCTCTAATCCTTCCTCTAGCAGATCTGATGTGGTCTCTACTATAATTCAATATTTTCAAAGTCTATATAACCCCTATAATACCCAACTTCTGAATATGGAGATTTTTCTGATTGGGGTAGCTGTTCCGTTTTGTTGCCACAACTCTCTCAGCTCTCCTATGTTAGACGAGGAAATCAAAGCTGCGGTTTTCAGGGGTTCTTCCAACTCTGCTCCTGGACCCGATGGGTTCAATTTCCACTTTTACAAGACTAGTTGGCATATCATTGGTCCGACTGTGTGCAGGGCTACTCAATCTTTTTTTGCCAAGTGTTATATGCCTAATGGTGTGAAAGCTACTGCTCTTGCCATTATACCTAAGCATAACAACGCCGTCAATATCTCTTATTATAGACCAATTGCGCTGTGTAATGTGGTGTATAAAATCATTGCCAAAGTTATTGCTGAGAGGCTTAAACCGGTTATGAGTTCCATTGTTAAAGATAATCAAGCTGGGTTTCTCAAGTCTAGAGTATCCACTGACAACATATTGCTTGCATCTGATATTTTGTTTCATGCGGGGAAAAGAGGTAAAGAGAAAATCTTTTGTGCTAAATTAGACATAAAGAAAGCTTTTAATTCAGTATCTAAGGAATTCCTTATCGCTAGACTTGTTCAAAAAGACTTCCCTAGTCGCTTTGTTAATTGGGTCAAAGCTTGTATTTATGATGTCAATTTTTCTGTTATTCTCAGCGGCGCTCTTGAAGGTTACTTCCATTCTTCTGCTGGACTTAGGCAGGGCTTCCCGATGAGCCCGTACCTCTTTTGCCTTGTTATGGATGCTTTTTCCAATCTCTTAGAAGGTAGGGGTTTCAAAGGGATCAATAGCAATGGTTTCTCTATTACGCATTTGCTTTATGCTGATGATGTTCTCATTTTTGGGGAAGCCTCTCTTGAGAACTGCAGTCTGCTACTCTCCATTCTTAATGACTTTGCTTGTGGGACTGGGCTCCATGTCAATTATGAGAAGAGCGCCATCATGTTTCCTAAGCATGTTCACAATCAGAGTGCTATTTGTAACTCACTCTCTATACACAACATTACTAGCAAGATCACTTACTTGGGGATCCCCCTGTCTTTCTATCGACTTAAAATTGAGGATTATATGCCGTTAATGGATAGTATCAACAAGAAATACACTAGTTGGAAGGCTACTCTTCTTTCTATTGCGGGTAGACTTCAATACTTGAAGTTCACTATTCAAAATACTATAGCTTATTGGATTAGGGGTGCAATATTACCCAAAGCTGTTCACAAGTTCATTAAAAAATCTAGCTCTAGATTTTTATTTTTTGGGGATGTGAATTCCTATAAGAAGCTTCACATGATTGCTTGGGATACTATATGCTTGCCTTATTCTAAGGGTGGTCTGGGCATTTCCTCAATCCCGGCTTT